GTAATATTATTTTTTGTCTGGTTTAGTACAGTTTAGTATAGTATAGTAGTAATTTGTTTTATTAGTGCATTATTCCCCATATGCATTTTTTTAAATAAGAACCAAATTGAAAATTTATAGAATTTTTTGAGGACCCCCAAGGCACAGCTCGCGGACCCCTGGGGGTCCTGGGCCCTCAGTTTGAGAACCTATGGTCCATAACAATAATAGGCACATGCTGAATGTGTGTTAAGAGAAACTTTCCACTAGAGGGCAGTGTTGCTACACATGCAGCTGTGTGAGCTATAGGAGTATGAAGAGAAACAAGAGAAATAAATTTAACTAAACGGAGAGGTAAAATAAATGTTTCTTAAACCATCAGTCTACTTTTCTATTTAAAAAAAATAACCCAAAAATAATTCAAACTAAACCATTTACAACTAAGCAGTGTGGTTTGATTGTAAATAAATAAACAAATCCGTCCATGCAGCGCTCTCATGGTTTTATTAGCTGTTTTATGTTAGTTAACAGAAGAAGCAGCCGCAGTCTGAAGACGCTCCCGGCACCAACCCGGATATGAAGTCCTTCTGCCGTACCGGCGCTGCGATGACGCAGACTAAAGGACTACATTTCCATGACGGCACTGAGAGGACTGTTGAGTAACAAGGTGGGGCTTCGTCGCTCTGTTTGAATCAACAAGTTGCCCAGACAATCAGGCTGCTGCTCCATCTGTGAGTCCGCAGCGGCAGGTGGCCAGCGCGCGTCCTGCTCTCCTGCGTCGCTTCCGAAGAGGATCATGAGCCGTTTTCACCTGAGAAGCACCAGATCTGGAGTTTAAGATGGATGGTGTAGAATAACTTCTTTAATCCTGTTTTGTTTTCACTTTCTTTCTTTTTTTTACTCTTAAGGCGGAAAGAGAAGATTAAAGTTTTTCACGTGCGTAAAACTCCCTGCACAAGGATCCATATCAGATAATTGCTGTTTTTTTTCCTTCAGTTTATTTAGTTTATTTTCATTGAACTGAAGTTGACTCAGAATCATGCCTTTCGGAAAGTTGAGTAAAATCCTCCGGATTGATACTAAAAAGAAAGTCAAGCAGTACGAGCACGTCCACCGGGACATCAACCCCAATGACATTTGGGAGATAGTTGGAGAGCTGGGCGATGGAGCGTTTGGAAAAGTCTACAAGGTAAGAGTGATTGTGAAAACACGAGGCACCTGCCTGCCAATCATAGGGGGGATTGAAAAAAACCTTTCAGTTCTATCAGTGTTACTTTTCTTTTCAAGGTTCAGACTGTTTTAGTATTAATTCCTGTCTTTTTAATGTTTAATGCTAAATGAAAGCATGACTTTTTGAAGTTTGTGTTTTAAGATATGGAAGAGGCGTTTCCCAAACATTGCTGCTCCTCACTTAGTCTATGACAGATAAGTGAAGTATGTTGTTGATCCAGAATTAAAGTTTGAGTCACTCTGAACTCATCCAAACAACAAATGAAGAAAAACTTTTGCCTTCTAAACAAAACCTGATTGCTCATTTTACGTTAGTTAGTTAGTTAGTTAGTTAGTTAGTTAGTTAGTTAGTTAGTTAGTTAGTTAGTTAGTTAGTTAGTTTGCAACATGTAAGTTATGATTCATCCATCTGACTTTGTGAATCCTAAATAAATTCACCCAACGGGGACAGTGAAAGCCCCGTTGTGTGCCTTCCTACACAACTCTGCTTCAGAGGATGCGTTTAATCTGGACCTGTGGGCTTCTCAGCCCCTCTCTGTGAAGCAGGGCCACAGGCCCTGTGTGTCTGTACAGTGTGGTGGAGCACAGTGGATGCATTTTATGCAGCAAAAGAAGCAAAGCTTCAGAGGAATTCTGCTTTGACCAGAAAATGCATTTTTTTGCTTATGGAACCACCCTGTTTGGATGTGTTGGTTTGACTGGAAATTTGGTAGAGTTTGGAAGGTGTGAGGAAGGTGAATTCTCAGTTTGACAGCTTTAAGTTTCCTTTTAACTGCATTTAATCTTACCGAAAACTAAGAAAAAGTCTAAATCTCTGCAGGTTTACAAGTCTGAATGAAATTAGCTGAAAGGTGTGTTGCACAAAAAATGACACGCGTGACGAAACGGCAAGCCTAGTCATCCCCTGTATGTTTAGCCAAACATCCCGTCTGAGCTTTGGCATCCCTTTCCTCTCGTTAAATGGCTTGTGGGTGTGGGTGGAGAGAAAACCTCTTCATACCTGCAGCTGTCAGATGGAGGGATGATAGGCTGAGTGGGAAGACAGATAATTACTAAGACAGGAAACTGTGGGACAGTCTCTGCTTCTCTGGAACTGTCAACTTCCTCTCACAGCACCCAAATCTCAGACTAATCAGCTTGTGTGTGGGAAGGAACAGGCCCGGGTGGCCAGTTGCACATTTTCTGAAGTATTTGATGGAGGAGGCCTGAGCGAGGGGTGGGGGCTCGCTGTTCTCCATCACAATCAGTGCGTTGAGGACAGGAGTATAAAACTACAACAGGAGGGTTTTGTACGTCATCACTCAGAATTACAGTACAACTTGCATRCAGCGCCTTGTGACGCTACAGATTCTGTTTCTGAGATGAAACAGACCTAGTCGTGTAGTGTGCTTGAGAGCACAAAGTGCTCCTGTCAGAATGAGCCTCTAAAGAGTTGAGGACACATCATGCTGAGTGTTTGCAGGAACATGTTTACACTGAAGCCTACTCCTTTTGTTGTTGCATAACTTTTCCTTCTGGGAAGTTCAAGAGTGCAACAGTTGTTGTTTTTTAACTCTATGCGTAGCCAGGTAAAATTATGCTAYTGAAGTAAAGAAAAGCATCTCTCAAACCTTCACCTATTCTCTAACCAAGTTAGCTTACCACAAGACCACAACATCAGAGATTTCAGCATCAGGACGGAAGCATCCAGTCTTCCTGTCCAGTGCAACAGCGCTGCATAGTTTTTGTCTTAAATGAGACATTTCATGCTTTTAAATCCTCCTTTTTCACGTGAAGGAACAGCAATGCTGTGGTCTGAATTCCTCCTCATTGTAACTCTACAAGCCCCSCTTTCACCTCTTTTCTGATTTTTGTCTCAGAACAACTCGTTTTGAGGCTGTCTCTTTAAATCCAAACTGTGCTTCACACCTCGCCCCCCMCCTTCAGCTTCCAGAGCRATCCATTGTAGAGATTTCCAACTATAAAGGGGYGCAGGAACAAATTAAAACCTACATGGTTTGAAAAATATGACCCAAACCAAATATAATAATGTCTTTGCAGCACTGGAAGAGACTAAATTCAAATTTTCTGCACTCCTAGAGACTCCCAAGTACACTACAAATTTACTGTATTTATTCATGTGTAATACGGTCTCAAGTGTAATACGATCATTATTTTTTGAGCTTACAAAGCATAATTAATTATCAATAACTCGTGCATAATACTATCCCCCCACTTTATGGATTATTTTTAAGGTTAAATTTCAAGTATTATACATGAATAAATACAGTAACGGATAAAGTTGATTTTGCGTGATGTGTTCCTTTTAACATTTGTTGTACTTTTTCTAATGGAGGTTTTGTGCAAAAATATTTCACTTCTATAATCCACAGTTTCTTGTAACATTGAAGTTGTCTTGAAATTTCTCYAAGCCTCATGAAAATCTCTCAAAGTTTGTCTTCACACTTTGGCTGCGTTTCACCCATTTTCACCACAGCTGATTGATTGTGTTGAGAGTGTAACATTCACGGTTCTGTGCTTGTTGGATCACATTTTTATTTTATTTTTTTTACAAAAGAGGGAATGTTCCCATGTGCTTTCCACTCTTACGTGTGCTTAAATCACATGCGCACAGTTCGCTCAGTCTTTTTTTTAAATGAGCATCTTGGATAAACACATTGGGCCTCATGCAATAACCGTTCGTATGCACAGATTTGTTCTTAAATTGTGCGTACGAGTGATTTAGGAGAATTTGTGGCATTCACCAATGTTTTCGTATTCTACGATTTTTTTCAGATACGAACAAAATTTACGAGTGGTCCAGACCTGTCGTATATTTTACGAACAGCCAGTCTGCTGTTATCCAGACGGGTTTTCCTCCCTAATAACTTTATATTTCGTTAGTTTGAAGATATTTTGAGTTGAAAATAAATTACACTATATGATTATGTTGACAATAGGCTACTCTGCTTGAATTAGTTATAATTTTAAATGTAATAATTTAGACTAACAATATAAACTGTCCGTTCGTCCGTTTTCCGCCGCCTATCCGGGATCGGGTGCGGGGGCAGCAGCAGAGAGACCCCCCTCTCCCCTGCTACACCTTCCAGCTCGTCCTGGGGGACTCAAGACGTTCCCAGACCAGAGGGGATACATGATCAAGTCCAGGATTTTCTCCAAAGTGCCAGACTTATTTTAAAAACATTTTAAAATGCTYATTTCAGACCCGCATCTGAGACCACCTGCGCCGCGCAGCGCGCTGGGGGGGGGGGCGGTTACGGTGCGCAGCGCTGCGGCTTCTGAATAAATGAAAATGATTTAACACAGTTGTTTATACTTTTAGCAGCTCTTTTTATCCCACAGCTGACCTGCTAAAAATGACAGATTTTCTTTTCTGGATCTCTGACAGACGGACTTCAATCTCTGAACTCGTAAAGTTTTTCTTTTAAGTTTTCGCTGCCATTTTCATGAATGGACACTTCCTGATATCTGAGGCAGGAAACACAGCCTTATATGGTGTATTTGGGGTGGTAATTATGCTAATCTCCTCTCACGTGCACGAGCAGCTGGATACGAACAGGTGKAATTTACGCAGCTCATTTACGCACGTTTCCTGAAGATAGAAGTGTTTGTTGAATCTGACGTGACATGTTCGTACGAACCCTTTGTACGAACAAAAGTAAGAGAAATTTAGGATAAGAATACRAACATGTTCTTGCATGAGGCCCATTGTCTAAGTAAAAATAATTCATACGTTTCTATATTATAAAATCTCACAAACATAAACCTGAACACAAATGTTGTCAGTCTGGTTTATGCAAATAAAATGTTGCTGTCAAGCAGAGTTTTACAGCCAATAAACCAATAAAAAAGTGTTTATGCTTTAAAGATGAGACTCTATTTAAGCATCACTTTAAAACACAGGTCAATGTGAATATTTGACATTTTTGGCTAAAAACCTCAAATTTACCAGAACACACACACACACACACACACACACACACACAGAAAAAAAACATTTACAAATATATCAATGCTGCTTTTGTTGAAATCGCCACGTTAAATGAACGTTTTGCTGTCATCATAACCACCTGACTTCCCTTATCTTTCGTGCCATAACATGAAAAATATTTCACTACTCCTACGTTCAGTGTCAAAGTATGTTTCCTTAAGCTTTTTTTCCACACATGCGATTCATTTAATTAATCTGTCAGCAACCACATGGGTCTATGAGGCACGAGAACAATCCCTCGGGTGATTTACTGTAACATTTTGCTGCAGAACTCTGAGTAAGTCGTGCCTTTTCACATAGATTTCGACACAGCTGCTGCAGTTACATTATTAGTAAGATAAGCCCAAAAGTCGAGGAGTTAATTTTTGTTTCTGTTGATGGAATTCCAACAGATCATGCCTCCAAGTGCTTAAATCATGACACAGCCCATGCTTTTCTTCCCCATTGTTTTTCTTTCTTAATTGCCAATTTTTTTCTTTTTTTTCTTTTTGTTGTTGAATAATATACTTTGTTCAGGCAAGACTCAGTGTGTGTTGTTGCTTGAATGGGAGTTTTGAGTTGTGGTGCAACACCTTATCTGATGAAAAAAACAGTGATGGTGTTCTCAGGTAAAAGTCGCCGGTCGTGTTTTTCTCGACTTGACGGTGATGTTGCACAAGCGCATGTTCACTTTTTAATGAGAAACTTACCCCAAAATTATTTTTTAGCTGATAAACTGTCTAGAATGTGTCTAAAATGTTATATAGTACTGTTTCTGTGCTCATTTTGATGTTTTTGTGCGTATTTGTTCAAATCTGTAATATTTGGTCTAAAAATGTCTTTTTGCTGCTCATATGGGTTGAGCAGCGGTGMTGCAGGCACACACATGCATACCCCAGCCCGCTGTACATCCTGCAGAAACAGGTAAACAAGAAAGTGTGTGTAGAAGACACATGGGAGGACAGCGGGAGGAGGAAAAAAGGCAGAGA